GCTGTAAATGAACAGATTCAAGGGCTGATTTGACCCATTAACCATAATTGTAGATCCTTTACCTTTTAAAATCTGTGTTATCATTTTTATGTCATCATTTTATTTATTTATTTATTTATTTTGCGGAACCGGGGATCAAACTCAGGCCCTTGCGCTTGCCTAGGAAGCACTTATTCCACTGAGCCATCTCCCTGGCCCTTATATCATCATTTTAGAATCAAAAATTGTTTAAGTAATATGGTTCCCTATAAAATGATCATGCATATGATATTCAGAAACTTAAAAGCTTAGAAAAAAATAAGAACATTCTAGCAGGAAAACTATGATTTCTAAAATAGTATTAGTAAAGAAAAGCGGGGGAAAAGCAACATCATTAGGTGTTTACCAAGAAACAAACACTGGGCATCCCTTGAACACAGCTGTCTCATTTAATCCTTTTCTTCTCTTTTCTTTTTTGGCATCAGGAATCAAACTTAGGACCTTGTGCTTGCCAGACTGGTGTTCGTGCCACTGAGCTGTATCCTGGGCTCATTTAATCCTTAATAATAGGTGTGCGACATAAGCATTAAGGTCTCCTGTTGTATGGACAAGATAATGACTTTCAACTATTCAGATTAGGATAATTTTTTCCTTCTAGGCATCTGTATCAGTAGTGATAGTGAAGCTTTAGTTTTGTTATAGAATTATCTAAGTCCTCTGGGAAGCAGAGATAATAATTTGATACTTCAGTCAAGTTCAGACTGTCTAGGGACTGCACTCTTAGAAACAAGCTTTGGAGATCCTGGGCAGGCAAATCTAAGCCTCCACTTACATTGTTTGCCTGGAACTTTAGTCTGCATTGTGCAGCAGTCTAATTCCCTTTGTTAGGGACACTGAGAGATGACGAGTACATCGAAAAATGATCCAAAATCAACAATCTGGTACAAACTTTTAAATGGTTCTCTATACATCCATATTCATTTTCTGAAAAACTCCAAAATTATTTTTCCTAAAGGATTTTTTGTTGGGGGAAGAACAATATGAAACCATTGGTTTTGGATCTTTATAGAGTTAAATATGTTTATTTTGGAAAAAGTTTGCCATTTACCTTAATATTTGTATTCTAAAATAAGAAAGGGAAGGGCATCATTTGTCTGCCAGCCTCTCCTAGAGCCTTGTTTATAGAACACTAGCCTGGACAAAGCAGCATTATCAGCATCACTGAGAGCTTAGTAAAAATGCAGCATTTTATACTTTATTTCTGACATAATGAAGCAAAATCTACACATGTGATCTATAGGAAGATTCACATTTGTAAACTATAACCCCAGAGCACTGCCAAAATGAGACCCAACCCTCCAATTTTCTGTCTCAAGAATTTGCCACTGGGGCAGGCAAGATAGTTCAGTGGACTGAAATGCCTTGATGGGCAAGCACAGGGACCACAATTCCATTGCAGGCACCACATGCTGCACCAGCCCCACCCCCAGGGCGAGCTGAGCAGGCCACAGAATCCACAAGTAGTGGTGCATGCCTGTAATCCCACGCTGGGGAGGCTGAACCCAGGAGGATCACTAAGAGTCCAAGCTGCATAATGAGACCTTGTAACAACCAAATACATTAAAAATAATAATAATAATAAGGGGCCGGGGAGATGGCTCAGTAGAATAAGTGCTTGCGTGGCAAGTGCAGGGCCCTGAGTTCAATCCCCAGTTCCGCAAAAA